ATTGAGTTCTCTAGCATTTGATGTTAAGTAAATAGTATCATCACTAAAATTCAAAAAAAAAAAAAATCTTTATTATTGGAGACCTCTTCAAACTTTTAATTACAAATTATTGTATAGAGAGGTAAACTAAAAAGTAATTGGAATGATGTTCCTGGACTAGAGTGGATTACGAGAATCTCTGTGTACAGTAAAAAGCAGATTATATTTATTATTATCTTAAATTAATAAAGATAAAACTTGGTAATTATACATTTTAATATATTTTTAAAATAATATTTTAATTTATCATGCCAGTTATGTTCAGCTAAATGTTTTTGTAACACTACCAAATTAAACAACATTACCAAATTAGTTTTAATTACAGCAACACTACACAACCTTCCTAGCAACGACACTTGCATACACTCTACAACTTCCTAGCAACGACACTTACTTGCATACACTCTTTATTAAGATTAAAGTATACTGGTTTTTATTTCCTTTTTCCACTTCGAAAACACAAATAGGTGTGCTTGATAATAATATAGATACTATTTAAAGGAATAAATATCTTTTAAAATAAAGTAAAATTTTAAATTTACACACAATTTATAACTAAGATTCAGTAGAGAAATTGATTATGCGTTCAATTATGAAAATCAATTCATGTGAGGAATAAAAACTGGATTTTTTAATAAATTCTGATCGAAAAGATCTAATTTATTTCATTATTAGATCATGCGAGGACCATAGTGTGAGGACCAACTTATTTCATCATTTTATTTGTGATGAAGATAGTAAATGAAAGCAACAAGAAGAAACAGTAACCTTGGTTTGATTGTAATAGATATTGTAATTAGATTTGAAAGAGAATTGTTAATATTTGTCATGTGTTGGGGAATTCAATTATAGATTTCGTTTTGATTGTAATTAAAATTGGTAATGTTGAGTCACAGTACTAGAGTACAGGTTGATAGGGAGATCAAATATCTTAATTCACATCATGTCATGTGATAATTTTGATTAATGTTTACAGTTTTTTATTTGATAAATTAGATTATTAATTTCATCATCTTATCCCCAATGAATATAGTAATTGAAAGCAATCGGAAAAACAGTAGTGTTGGTTTGATTTAAATAGATATTAGATTGAAATTTGGGAGAGATTGTTACTATCTGTCATTGGTGAAATATTCCAGAACTCTTTTTGATTGTAAAGGACAAAATATAAAGTTAGGGAGATTAAATATTTTGATTCAAGAGTGAAGATTAATATCATGTCAACTGATCATTTTGGTTACGGTTTGCTATTTTCTATTTATTATAGAAAATTTATCATTAAAAGGCTGTGATTGAGGAAAAAAAATAAAAGGTTTTTTTTTTTTTTTTTTTTTTTTTTTTTTTTTTTTTGTAATTTCTCAAAATACTGATCCTGTAAATACAGTTTATGAGTCATGTGTACAAATCATTTTGTCATGATGATTCATGTTCCTCACGATGATTCATGCTAATTTTATTTATGTTATTGATATAAACAAGTGTGGATTATATTGAATTGTATAGTATTTGATACTAAAGTAAATACTAGCTCTAAAATTTAATATTTTTTTCTTAGAGATGATGTTCAAATTATATTAAGGTATTGGGGAAAATTAAAAGGTAATTTGAATGATTTTGTTGAAGTTTGCCCTCTGCATTTGTAGAAGAAAAAGATTGAAGTTTGCCCTCTGCATCTACAGATATAACAATCTTATTGTTATTTTTTAAGACTATTAGTTGTAAGGTTTTTTTAAGTTTAAAATTAATATCAAAATAGAAAAAAAATATTAAAGTTAGAAGAAAAGTATTGGTTAATTGGTTACCAAAATACATATTTGGTTTGGGAGATTATAGAAGGATTTTTTAGCAGAAAAATAAATTTGAAGGTGTTACACAAACAACCACCAGAAAATCATAATGATAATTATAGGATTAATTAAAGAGATTAAATATGTTGTAGAAATTTTATCAAGAAAAGGTTGTGATTGAGAATCTTTCTGTTTCTAAAATTCTTTCTACGAATTGGTTTTGAGTGCATCTTGATAAGAGAGATTTAAAAAAATAAAAATAAAAATTGTTTGATGTTTAACTATTAACATAATTTAATTTGACAATTATATCATTTATAGTCTATAAATAATAGCACAGAGTTGAATTGAGATGTACAAAGACGGGAAAGAAAAAAAACAAAAATATAATAAAAGCGATGGAGTGAAATCGCCGATGATGCAAGAATAATTAATTGGCATAGTGAAGATTAGAGTCTACAAATTTACCCAATCTACATGATAGAATTTTTCTTTTTCTTTTTTTCCTTTGACTACATGATAGAAGTTGAGAGACGGAAAAAGAAATGAAATGAAAAGAAAAATAAAACGAAAGAGAGGGAGAAATGGCAGTAAAAGTATCCCATTTTTATTTTTATTTTTATTTATACTATAAATCAATTTAAAAGCGAACCCATACCTAAATGGAACGGGTTGCCTTATATATATATATTAAACGAAAGAGAGGGAGAAATGGCAGTAAAAGTATCCCATTTTTATTTTAATCACTCAAACATTTCCTTCATGTGAATGCATTTTGAGTTATGTATGCAAATTATTTTGTCACGATTCATGTTAATTTTATTTATTTTATTGAAATGTACTGTATTGTCTATTCCTAATAAATGATAAAAACTTTTTCAAAATTGGAGGTTGGCTGTTCAATTTTAATAAAATAATGAACAAAAAAAAATAATCCACACTTTCTATATAGACCGGTCATTTCACAAACCCACCTATGGCCTTTCCTTTTAATACAAAACCACTCTCACCCTATTTTTAGTTTCTATAATTAATTTTACCATTACCACTTACTGTAACAATAAAAAGGTAATTATCAAAATAAAAATAGAAACCTTTGAAAAAAATTAATTCCAGTATATTTTACTAATAAATTTGTTTTTATTTAAATATTTATTTTGTTTTTATTTAAATATTTCTTTGAAAGAAAAACAATACCCGCATACTGACTTTTCTTCAGGTTTTTTTTTTTTTAAAACCAACTTTGAATGAGAAATCAAAGAGTAAGATCACTTGGGAAAGTAATGGGTTGGTGGGTATGATAAATTAGACTTGAAGCCTGATGTTTTCATGGTTTAGAATGATATGGAGAATATGTATATGTGGGTTTTCAAGAAGAGACCTAAAAATACATTGGGAAACATGCAGTTAAGATGTTAAGCGGCGTGCATGATTGGTGTGCATGATTCCGGGATTTAGAGGTGTTTCATGTTATTTCAGAACCAAAGCTCTCATAGAAAACAGTATTATTGTCATAGTTATTTGTGCGTGTACGTGTGGATAACAATATTATACAACTGAATAATGGAATCATATGACATTGACTTTATTCAAAATTGTTAAACCTTAAACTAAATAAAACTAAATAAAACGAAAACAAAAATTTTAATCTCTTCATAAAGGGATGAAACTTAACAAAATTTAAAAACATTTAATCTTCAAAGCCTTAAACCTTAAAGTAAACTCTTCCACGACAAATAGAAGTTAAGTTACGAGAATTAATTTTTTTTCAAAGGTTTCTATTTTTATTTTGATAATTACTTGTTATAGTATGTGGTGATGGTAAAATTAATTATAGAAACTAAAAATAGGGTGAAAGTGATTTTGTGTTAAAAGGAAAGATCATAGGTGGGTTTGTAAAATGACCGTTAAATTTAATCTAATGGTCTATATAACAAGTGTAGATTATTTTTCTTACTCCATGGGGACCAAGAGATCAGGACTCATAATTACTCATCATAATAAGTCGCACAATATATTTTTTTTTCTAATTCTACTATAATAACAAAAATTTATTGATGTAAGGACGAGATTCACGACAAAACATGCTATTATTCTATGAAATTTCATATTTCCTTTGTAAATAACTCTTTCGCACTGGAGGAAAGAAAAAAGTAGAAAATTATAACAATAAACAAGAATCACATTATCCGTGCAATTTAACATTTTGGTGCAATTTAACATTTTGGGGCTGAACTAATAAAATCCCCAACTAAATTTAGCCTATAGATTAATTAAGCTATTTGAAGCTGTGCTATTATTATACTATCATTATTTTTTATTCTTTTAGTACTTATCTTTTATTTTTATAATTAATTGTATCGGTAAATATTAAATTTGAAAAGTAGAAATAATGATATTAGTTTTATATTAAAAGGAAAGCATTTAAGTGGATTTGGAATGTGACCATTAAATTCTGTAAAAAGTGCGGAAGAAATTCTTGCTCCACGGAGAGCAAGAGATCAATACTCTCTCTCACTCTCCATATATATATATATATATATATATTATTTGACTTGGTAATCATTCAAACAGGATAAGGGTAATATTAATAAAATTCAATTAAATTTAAAAAATTGATGTGTTAACTTGTATAATATAATTTTATTATAAATAATACTAAATAAATGATTTTCTATTTCAATCTCTATCCACCCACCACCAGCTACTACAGTATCAAAACACAAAAACTTGCGACTCCAAGAGCCGACAAGTTGGCTGGCTTTTGCCTCTCTCTCACCCCCTCCGTCCGTGTTTTCATTTTTTTACCCTATATATATCCATCTGTCTATATATATATATATATCTTCCTTTTCTCCCATACGGCTGTCACAGGAAAATGGCTGTTCAATTTTAATAAAATAATGAATTATGATTTCAGCACTAGCATGATTTAGACAACTACTAGTTCAGAGTTGTTCTGACACCAAGTATATGGAAACAAAACAATCTAAATAGTTAAACTAGCATTTTTTTAAAATGGCCGACTTCTATCTCTTGAACAGACCATCAAAAAAGAATCCATGGGTCGATGATAAAAATCTTGTCCAGCCGATGGTCGGTCACGGGATGCTTATAAAGCTTATCATCAGCTCTACTCGTGATAACATAAATTATAAACTATAAATTTCAACATAGCATAAGCATGATTATTGCTTGGTCTCTCCATTAAAATCAACACAAAACAAACATATTACACTGTCTCAAAGAAAATATCTAGCTCAAAAAGGTAAATCGCTCATTCCAGGAATATATTTTTAGTATAACAACTAATAAGCTCACACTAGTTCCTGCAGAATTGCTCTGAGACTCCTTAAAAGATGCGCACAGGCTTCCCCATGGTACTCTTCAGGTACAAGCACCTCACCTATTCCAATCAACAACCAGAAAATCATAATATGGTTATTAAACCTTCAAAACCAATAAATGGCGATAACCAATACATACATACATACATAGTATAAATACATAGATACAAATATATATATATATATATATATATATAATATAACTAAAACCAATGTTGCTTTTCAAAATCTCAGACTAATTCCTCTCATAGTAAACAATGTCTATCTGCCTCCAAGGGATTAATTTATTAAGGGACCGCCACAATCAAGCACACGGTTTAAGGGAAAAAAGGACAAACATACAAGGAAAAACAAAGAATAAAAGGCAGAACAAACCAAAGTGTAACAACCACCTACTATAAGAAAATTAACAGAACTCCAAATGCATCACAATGGATAACTCTAAAGGTCATTAGAAGTTAGCAAGTACATGTCAAAATATTATAAGTTATGATTAACAGCATAATAGGAGAGTGGGGAAAAATATACTCACATTTTGCCAGTTCTTCTTCAACAATGAAACTAGAAAATTAATGCTCATTTGCACATTTTGAAAGATTTGCTTCTCTTCCATACTGCAATTTCCAACAGCAACTCCCATGCAGAGCACTTTCTTCAGTTGGAATTTTATTGTGGCCTTGGTCTCATTGACTTTAGACTCGAGAGATTCCTGGTGCGTAACTAGTGTAGGAAACTTCCCTGTAATGGCATATGAGACAGGCAAGTCAAACAAAAGCAACAGTGAGCAAACGTAGAGATTCAGAAGGCCATAGAAATAAAGTTACCTATAAATAATTATGAATCTTTTAATTAACTAGAACTTCCTGAATGGAAATTCTAAAAGTGCAAAAGCATGTATCTATGACTTGCTAAGTCAATAATTTCAGTCATATGTAGGAGTGTGTTTTGGGTTGGAGGGGGTGGGGTGGGGTGGGGGGGCGCAAGGCGCATTCCACAATCAGAAATCATTTAATTTTTATTAAACAAGTTAGTTGGAAAGAAATGGAATGTAGTCCTAGCACTGGAAATGGCTAATACCAACCTAATAAAGACCCACAACTGGTCTAGCATCAAATTTGCACCAACAAGGTACCTTTTAAAAACCCTTCTTGTTTTCTAATACTGCTTACATCATCAATCAATAGTAACAAAATCCTTGTATAGGTCAACTCCAATGAAGGAGTCTCATGACAACAAAAGAAGATACCATGATATTGGTGTACACTATTTCTATTTTCAATCTCACCAGTACAAACTTCAATTACTGCATTTGTATAAACTTAACCAATAACATAATTGAGTATTTGAAATTTTGAACAGAAAGTTGAAGAGGGGTGGGGGAGACTAAATGCATATTTTAGTCATATTGAATCTCACTAATGAAGTGGTCCGAAGGACACCATGAAATGCAACAGGCCAAAGGAGAAAATAACATGATACTATTGCAGCAATTAACGAATAAACAACAACTAATTTTACAGTCATCAAATACACTTGCCTGCCTTGTTGAGACCAGGGCCTAGAAGACGGGGAATCTGCTTAATGACAGCTTCTGATGCTAAGAAGGCATGAAACTTCTTTGCAAGTTTCTTGACCAACTTCTTGTTCTTGTTGAGCTTCTTCAGCCCTTCCACATCCATATACTCCAAACCCATCTTTTCTGCCTGAGGTTCAAACCCCAGCCCCCCAAAGAAAAGAGCAAAATTATGAAAGAAATTGCAAAAAAGTTATATCACAAGAAAACAGGAGAAACCAAACTTTGACTAGAATTTCTAAGGCAAAAGATCATGAATATTCTACACAAATGCTCCAACAAATTGAACAAGGTATCAAATTAGATCCAAGCAAAACGATGGAGCATTAGCCTTGATGTTGCAAATAGATCTAAAGTAGATAAAATTGTACTAGCATACTGCACACATGACCAAAAATAAACTTCAAGAACAGATGTAGTTAATGAGATGATATGCTGCAACGTTCATGCATATGCTCATGGATGGTAAAAGATGTTTTGGACGAATTTTTTTTTTTTTACACCTAATTTTGAATATTCTTGTAAAGAGAGCATCAGCGATTGATTTAGCAACCGGATCGCACCATAGCGTTTATTCTCATCAAATATAAAAATCTGACCAAAAACACAATTGAAATCATTTAACATGTAATTCCAATCTGTTACAAACACACCGAAGTAGATGAATTGAAAACATATTCCCAGCTCATTACTACATATAATATTCAATTTTCTCATTGCAAGTGTACTTGAGCTATATGAATGTTGAAGACCTTAAAACATGTTGCCATAAAAGGATCAATCAGTTGTGAAACATTTTTTTTTTATTTGACAACCTTACAAACTATTAAACAAATACAATTCAATCACAAAGTTGGTTATAATCAAGGAGAAATCAGATTCCCTCTTCCTAAATATTTCCTTAACCTTAATTTTGTCAGAGCATAATTACCTCTTCCACATGCTGAGCATCACCAAGCATGCAAACTTTCATCTTTGGACGAGGAATGTGAGGCAACTTCACGGAGCCACTGAAACGTTTGTCCTTCTGGGGATCGTAGTTTTTCAGCCCTATCTGGAGCTCAATGGTCTCCGTGAAGTTCCTCTTTTTTTCCTTGGCATCATTAGAAATTTGAGAAATGGCTTCCCTAAGGACATCACTTTGAAGCTTACTGTAGAAGAAAAAATAGGTTCAGAGGGATTGGGGCAAGGGGACAGATAAAACAAAATAGAAAAATGAAGATAAAAAAGAAAATAAACTAAGAAAGCAGTGCAAAAGAAATAATATAAACTACTATAAACGAGATACTTATCAAAAACAAATACAAGAAGATGTTGGAGTAGAAAACTAATAAATCATAGCTATTGACCTACAGGAAAACAGAAGGGTAAAGTTGCAAAAAAACTGTACTACAAATAACACAAACCAGCACTCTTCACAAACCAGATTAATAAGCAACGTGCGTCCAAATTTAGGATCAGTGACACAGAATATAGATCCACCTACAAATTTACACACACAGGTACAAGATAGCCATTTTCTCGATTTGGTACATAAAACCCACTACAATAAAAAATCTTTAAAATTCAAAGCTTATAGTCTCACTTATGATTAAGACGAACCCTAAACAGATTTCAATGCCATTTACACTTTCTCAAATCACAAGCACCTAACCTTCAAATGAATCAAAAGACTTAAATTGTAAACAACTGAGTTTCTGCACTTCAAAATAATTACAATATTAAACATTAATTTACAAAATAAAAAAATCCACCCCAACCTCAAAAACAGAGAAAACAAAAACAAAAACAAAAAAAATAAGCAAGATCTCAATTAACACAATCAATTTCAATTGAGAACATTTTCAGCAGAAAACCCAAAGAAACCCTAACTACAACAGGACCTGAGACTTAAAAATACCTCATTGTCGGAAGTTTACACTTCGTGCAGATTTAGGTACTGCCAACAAAAATGAAGAAATAGTAAATAATCAACATTTGATAACAGCTTAACCTATACAGTTTAAACAATACTATTCGATGTTTGTGGAACTGCTTGGTTTAGAGAGAGAGAGAGAGAGAGTACCTGAGAAGAAAACCCTAAATTTTAGTTGCGATATGCTGCTGCGTGCTTAAATATGTGTAGATCTCCGAAACCCTAATAGAGTGGTGCCACATGGGCCAGCATTGGGACTAATTACAATACACGGACTATTTTGTTTGGTGTAAAACATGGGCCAGCATTGGGCCTAATTACAATACGGACTATTGTTTAAAATTTTGGACGAATACAAATTAGGAATTGAAATGAAAGGGTTATAAAGTTTAATATATTTTTTAATATCAATTTTACTTTTATTTTTATTAAAGGTAATTAAAATATCATACGAAACTTGGGAATGAAAGGGTTATAAAGTTTAATGAATTTTTTAATATTAATTTTACTTTTATTTTTATAAAATGTAATTAAAATGTCATATGAAACCTGGGAATATTTATTTTTTTCTAATCCAATTTTAAATGACTATCCACGATTTTTATTTTTGTCTTACTTTTTTTTTTTCTTACTTATTTATTGTCTTTTAAACATGAAAAAGGTACCATCGCTTTACCAATACGACTAATTGTTAAGTGTCACTCCGTATGAGATTGAGAAAGACGTGTGCATGGCATGAGTTAAGTTTGTATTCATGTGTGAAAATCGTGGAGTATTGAGAGAGTTTAAAATTTTCTAATATATTGTAGATATTGTAAAATTTTGTAGAGTTTGATACATACATATGGTAGAAAATTCTAAAGAATATGGTAAAAAATCTAGCTATTCATGAAGGAAAATATTTATATTAATAGGTGACAAAGAATGTTATTTGTAACAGATCGATTCACCTATTAACGCAATGGTGGAATCATCAGTTAATCAAATCCAAATTTTGGTTTGAAAAAAACCGAGATCTGAATTAACAAATAATTGTAATCCATCAATTAATCAAATCTAAATTTTAGTTTGCAGTGCCGTCCAAAGTAGTTATGTGTACTACATTGCCAGCAACAACAGACATATATGTGGAAATAGTAAAAGGACTGGTTGCTGAAAGAAAATAATAATAATAATAATAATAATGTAAAGAAATAATACATTGTGTTAATGAATAATTTGAAATCTGAAAGTTAGATAAGTGATTTATGTGAGTGATAATGATATTAATTTTATGATACGGAGATGATATCAATTTTTACTTACATAAAATTAATTATATGTGCTTCGAACTCTCTATCATTATTCAAATTTAATTAATTATTTTGATTGGAGTATGATAGTCAAACTTTTATAAATGTGGACTGACATTATCAAGATGACATCAGTTCTTATTTATAAAAAAATTTAATTGGATGTGTTTGCATTGTCGAATTCTTTATCAATTTTTTTTTTTTTATATTAATTTTGCTCTTATTTTATTAAAATACAATCAAAATATAATGTTTTTATTCCTTTATCCCTTTTTATTTTAACCATATTTGTCACTTTGGTTTAGAAGATTTTCCACAATCTTTTTTATTTGTCTTTTAGTGAAAAGGTATGATAGAAAATTAATTATTTAAAAATATGATTAATTGTTTAGGTGTTCCCTTCCCGTGAGGTTGAGGAAGACTGCATGGCATGTGCACCATATAGGTAGAGTTGAATTGCTTAGTGTTCTATATTTTTTTAAAATTACGAAGTGTTGAAAGAGTTTGGAAAATTCTAAAATATTGTAGTGTATGTAAAAATTTGTAGAGTTTGATGTATATAGAGTTTTTTGGGTGAAGAATTTTAGGTATTAAATCTTAACTACCATTGACCATCAAATATCTAGTCGTTGATTAGAAAAAATATGCCTATTAACTCAAGCTCTACAAATGCGAGAGTTTTGTACAATAATTATTTGACCATGAACTTTTGGATAATATGGCGTATTACTCAAACAGACACATTATTATTTAGTATTAGTGTATATGATAGATTTGAAATTTTAGCAAAATAAATATCCAACACCACACATTATTTATTTTTATTAAGTCTTTTTGAATTTTGGACAAATTATAGACAGCACCTACGAGGTTTTCATCTTGTGCAACTAGATAGAAAGTATGCGTCATATATTGGTCAACCACTCTTGTGATTTCATTGACCTAACACAGGACTACTTTTCTTAAATGATCTATATATTTTTGGACAAAAATAACCTTACAGAAGACCAAATTGCCTATTAATTGAATTGAAATTACATCATTCCAAAAGGACAGAAATATGGAAATAATATTGATTTTTTAAGATGTAAACCTTAAAACGATCCATCAAAATGTGACAAATAAACAAATAAACATGATCTAGGATAAATATGATTTATTGAAACCTAAAATGACAAATAAACCATAACAATTAAACAGTACATTACACTCACCCACTCCCTTCCTGAATTTTCTTTTAAACAATGATTATGTGTCTTAAGATCATATAGGTAACTTTACCTTCATCTCCAAATGTCAGCTAGTCAATTTAGACTTTGTTGTTAATTGACGCATACTTCTATTTAGGTGCACGAGATGAAAATTTTGTTAGTGCTATATGTAATTTGCCCTTTAATTTTTATTTATCTATTTATTCATAATGATTAAATACACAAGTTAAGAGAAATAGATTTAATAGTCAATTACATATAACACCCAAATACACGTATAAAGAGAGTGCTAAGTAAATCTACTAGCTTTGAAGACAATACATGCAACCTCTGGAATATAGTAGGAAAGTATTTCAATTTGGTCATCGTTAATTAATAATGACTTTGAACTAAAAATTTGTGATGATTATGGATAATTAGCTATTTAATTCAATTTGGTATATAGGAATGAAATGATTATTTGGTTATAAATATGAAACGTGTAAGAATTGAATGATAATAATCATTTTAGTGTTTGGTTGAACCAATTAAAAAATTAGAATAGAATGAATTTCAATTAAATTCTCCAAAATACATTCTTAGTGAAAATTAAATTAAATTAATCAAATAACATTATTCTATAAATTTTTAAAAGAAATGAGATGGTAGTGACGATCGTGGTGGAGGTGAAAATCAATAGTGGTGTAAGTAGTAGTGTTGGAAGGTGGTGGTGGTAACAGTTGTGAGTGGAAGCAGTGGTTGTATTGGTGGAAGGGTTAGCGGTATACGTGATAATGGTGGAAGGTAGTGACGATGGCAGTGGTGTGGTGGTGGTGGAAGGCGGTACTACATAGGTGGTGTTAGTGAGGTGATGGTGGAGGTGGCAGTGGCAGTAGAAGTAAAAGATGGTGACGGTGGTAGAAGTTAGTGGCAGTGGCGGTGATGGAAGTCGGTGGTGGTGGTGGCGGTAGCCATGGAGGTGGCGGCAGCGGTGGTGTGGTAGTGGAAGACGGCGACAACAGTGGCGGTGACATTGACGGAGGTGACAATGGTGGAAGGCAACCGTGGTGTACATGGTGGGAAATGGAGGTGGTGGTGGTAGTGGTGACTGTGGTGGTGGCAATAATGGTGGTAGAAGGCAATAAAGGTGGTAGTGGTCGATGGTGATAGTGGTGGAAGGCAGTGGAGGCGGGCAGCGACGGTGTGGTGGTTGAAGGCAGCAACAATGGTGGCAATGGCAGCAACGGTGGTTGAAGGCAATGGAGGTGGTGGTGGTTGTGGTGGAAGGTAGTAGTGGGGGTCGTGGAAGATGGTGGCGGTGGTGGAAAGTGGTGGTGGCGGTGGTGGTTGGAACATGGCTTTTATTGGAAACTTCATTTATTTTTTTTAAAAATTACTTGGGAATAAAATGAACATTTCATAAGTTTAATTGTGAAATGAATTTTCATTTCGAGGAATGGATTTTCATCCAATGGAATGAGCATTTTTATAAATTTCATACCAATCAGAGAAATGGTTAGAATGAGCATTTCATTACATTCTTGCTCATCGAAAGCTCCATAAACTATACCCACTCCACCACATAGTATGATATTATCCGCTTTGGGCCTGAGCCCGCACAGTTTTGCTCTTGGGCTTCACCCCAAAAGGGGTCATATCAATTGGAGGTGACACACTTATATATAAGCACTTCACCTTTTCTCTACCCAAGCGATGTGGGACTGTGCACCCATAGCTCGCTAGTGTGGTAGCCTGACAGTGTCTCACCCACGGCACACTCGCCCACAAAGTCATCACAATCCACCCCCCTTGGAGGCCTGACGTCCTCGTCGGCACACTTCAGGCTAGGTCAGGCTCTAATACCATTTGTAATGACCCACTCCACCACATGGTATAATATTGTCCTCTCTGGACCTGAGCCCGCACGGTTTTGCTTTTGCGCTTTACCCCAAAAGGCCTCATACCAATTAGAGGTGACACACTTACATATAAGCACTTCACATTTCCTCTACTCAGGCGATGTGGGACTGTGCACCCATAACTCGCCAGTGTGGTAGCCTGACAGTGTCTCTCGCACCCGCCCACGGCACACCCGCCCACAAGGTCATCACAATTAGGAAAAATTAGCTATTTAGTTCAATCTAGAATTGGGATTGTGGAATGGTATAATGGTACTCACCGTGGTATTTTATTTTACTTAATATTTTAGAATCTTTTATTTATTTATTTATTTATTTTTATTTAATTAATCTCATGCAGGTAGATTACAAAATAATTGGAGTTGTTTGCATAAAATAAAGTTTAATATCCATTCAAATTTTTTAATTTATTGCAAAAAAATTACCTACAATTTTTAATTGGCCTGCAAACAGTCAATTTTATTTTTCTTTTTCAAATATCGGCGTAAATTGATTGGTTTATAGAAGTGTGTCGACTCTTTAAAAAAAAGTTATGAGCCGATACAAGGAAATATATTTAAGACATATATGATAGGAAGAAAGATTGAATGTACTAGTTTTTTATACTAGTTTTACTTGCCTTGCGAGAGTGAATATGCTGAATTCTGTAATTGAATCTCTCTCTCAAAATACTATTTTTTGTTTGACACTCTCAAAATACTAATAAGCAGTAATAAATGCAAGTTGATGTGGTTTTCAACCTTCAACATAACTCCACTAGGAAGGGGGCATTGGTGAAACATGATTAAAACAATCACAACATATTATGAAAGAGATACTGAAATTTTCCATGCTTTAAAATGAATAATAACCATCACCTTAGAATCCCAATAATCTGTATTTTGAAAACTAAAGGCCACATTGACCCAACAAAAAAAGTACTTATTCAAGGATGAATTAAAAATGTGGCCTTTTTGACTCCAAAAAGGAAACAAGCAAGAACCAAAAGAAGAGAGAGATTGAAATTTCATTCAGATGGCCTCTGCCCCAAAACTGTTATGTCCTCGTATCGCTTCTGCATACAACAATTGCAAAGATTGGTTAGAAATCTACCTAACAAGATTTCATGAAACGAGAACATAAACTAAAACTTTAGTTAATGCATATAATATGAGACTTGACACGAAATCTACGAAATCCAAATTCAACTTCTGCAGTTTCTTAAACTATTGGTGGCGTAGACAACCTCTTGGATCTCTCGAGGGGTTAGATATATGTCCATGTATAGGCATAGTTTTTGGGCAAAATGTCTAGTTAGATTGTAAAGGTTGAGTCACTCCAATGAGTTAGTTTGTCATCGGAGTGATGAGTTAACCGACAAAGACACTTCAAACTCTACAATCAAACACTTTCAGGCTTGGTAGTTGACATAAGAGACTTTAGGCCACGGATGGAAAATGATAGTTTAGATGGCCTAAAAAATTTCTAGTCCATCTTCGACATTGAAAGAGGACAGTTGGTATTTGATCAGAAAGCTTGTTTAAAAGGGCAAGTAAACCAGCTGAGCTTTATGCTGAATCAATCCATGAAAGGACTGATCGAGTTAAGAGTTGGACTTGCACAAGCAATTGTTAGACTGATGGAGTTCGAAGGTAGACCAATCAATATTCAACTAGTGTGAGCTGGATCAATAGAGTCAGTCTTTAGCTCTACCAGTCCAGCTTTGTCCAATGTTGATAATACATTTTATCTCCAATAAGGATTGTACTGATTCGGTCTCAGTTATAAAAAAAAGATTACAGAAAATGCAAATAAGAACAAGAGAGAGAAACGAAGAATTAGAGAGGTAAATACATGGACAATAAAATTAGTGCAAGAACTTTCCCTTGACGCCTCTTGGTTATAGCATAAGAAGAACAAACCTCTTTGCTGAGCAGTGCTCATGGTTCGGTTGTTGGGCCTGAAGTTGTGGGACTGGGATAAAGAGTTTCATACATGTGCATTCAAACATGTGTTTTTCTAGCAATTTAATGTTTTGTGTCTGAAGATGTCATTGATCCGGTGAGTGACACAGCATTTGATCTACTTGTAATTCTAATTTTCCATAGGGGGACTTGACAACTCCAAACTAGGAACCATGGTTTTCCTATCTCTGAATCTGTCATTCATCATGCACCATCCTATTCCGTCCACAATATTATCCTACATAAATGGCTATATTTCCAAATGTATTCCTGAATATTCACAGAATTTTATATTCATAGGGTTTGAAAGAGATTTTGCTCGCGCTGTCAGCTCTTCAACGCAGTACTCTCTGTTTTGATTGCATCTATATTTTGTTTTAAATATTTCAGGGAGGATATCCATAAATATGACTCCATTCAAAACACAACAATGAATACGCATAGCATCAGATGATTCAGATTAGCTGCAAATGTTGCAAAAAATCAGTGCCTCAAGAAAGTGAAATGGTTTTGTTGCTCATGAATCAAGAGGTAGCACAAGCTAGGTTATGGAACACAAGCATTAACTATGCATTTCCACAGCATTTCACAGCATCAAGAACAAAAGAACAATATAAACATTGTGGTTATTATTAACATGAAAAAATAATTCAAATCATAATGCCACCAAATAAGATCAAAATGATCTACTAATATTTAACGAAAGTAGGTTGGAAATAAATACCCCAGCATTGTTGTACTCCCAGAGCTTATGAAGTCCATAATCCACACCCTGTACCCAAAAATTCAACACCTTCACTTGATTACTCCATTCCATGGCACCACAATTACCCAACAAAGCAACGACCCAATATGCATTAACCCCAAAATCAATGTAGATCCAGTCAATCGATAATCCACTCAATTACAGGTATAAAAATAAAAATAAAAAACTAAATTTAATCAACAATTGAGAATAAAAGAATGTGTTCATTGACAAGGAACCCCGGATCCTCTACTATGCCATTTCAAACTAAATCCTTTGTTATTACATTGTTTATGCAACAATTTTTTCATGTATCCATTGCACACACACCATGGAAGAAAGAAGAAAATCCCTACGGCCAGTTCGGAACGTACTTTACAAAAATGTTAGAATATTTGCTAAATCTCCCAACTTTTTTTGAAAGGTGCATCCCAAAACTGGTCTTCAAGTACCAAAGCACATGTTTCTTTTTACAGGAGGGGATCTGGATTCCTTAAATATATCTCAAAAACCGAAATGTTGTCATAAAAACTCCTTGTAAAACATTTGCAACCAGATTAAATAAAGAAAGAACAATAATGCAACAAAAGGATTCCAGAGAACTCAAATGTATAATCTATATATATATATATATATATATATATATATATACAGAAATGTATTGTGTGAAGGCGCATAGTGTATGAAAAGTAAGGGATGGAAGGGTAACCCGTTCGCCGAGGAAAGCGCCGGCGATGACGAAAGTGGCGTAGATGGAGGTCCGGCGCATAATAACTTTGTAGAGACCTTCAAGTATACCTCCTCCGCTTCTTCGACCGGTAGAATCCATCGCTTTCTTTGTTTGGGCAGATTGATTGATGACTGTTTTATTACCATCCCCGTTTTAGGGTATTTATTTAGGTTCAATGTTTTGAAATCTGGTCTGGCTAATCGATCTCATAAAGTGGGCGGATTGGTTCGTTCCGGCTCAAGTTTGTTAACTGGTCCAATCATGGGAAAATAATTTGCAGTTTGATTCGGATCAAGCCCAACACTAAAAAGATGTCTACGAGCCAACTTATCATGAGCATACACTTTTCGGGGTCACGTAATTGGTCCCTTCTCCATGATCTGCCAACCAAAAAAAAAATAATAAATAAATAAATAATTATTATTTAATTAAAAATATAAAATGATACTATGATGAAATATCGAAAATGTTAATGGTCATTTTCTGTCAATTTAAGTACAATTAACTGGACTGATTGTATCTTAATTGCAGATATCACAAGTATATTAGTCTTATTAGATGCAAAACACTGATCTTGACTTATTCGGATTTGCATAACAGATGGATCGGAATTAATTTTTTTTTTTTTTTTAGGGAAATTAGAAAATTTATTAAATAATAGATAATACTTGCTTACTCACACGTGAGTAGATATTTGAAAAATATAGAGGGTGATCAGAAATATTTGCTTTCTTATAAACAATACAATCAATACTTGCTTACTCACCTGTGAGTTGGTGATGTTGTCCAATCACAAATGTACATAGTCTGTAATTATAAAAACAAGAAATTAATAAATAAGGAAAACATTTTTAAAAAAAATAAATTCAATCACCTATGTGTTTTGCTTATTTATTACTTTCACCATTTTGTAATTACGGGAAATGTGTGAATTTATGATTGGACATCAGCTTTCAATAGAGATCACGTACCTATTCGCATTGGACAACATCAATAGTAAGGTCACCTACGGCGAGTAGGCGACTATTATCCTTTTTTTATTATTTTATTTATTACATTCTAAATTTTGTAATTATAAATAATGTGTAAATTTGTGATTTGACAACATCAACCTTAATAAAGATCACCTACTTCCACCAATAAATAGACAAATATTATCCATAAATAATTATTGTATTATATCGCAAGAAAAACAATAATGCATATAAATGAGAAAAGAATGGTTGTTTGATAACGGTAGGCATTGTTTTTTTGTCACCCAAGCTATTTAGTTGTTTTATTTCTTTGTACCAATTAAACTAATTTTTCCTTTTTAAATTTCAATAAATAAAAGATAAATGATAGAAATAGAAATAGACAATAGTTCAAGTTTGTATTAGGTTCTTACGTAATATTTTATGTCGTTGGCATAAAATTGGTTAAAGAGTAATGAACGCTCTTTATACATATTAATCGTTAATCGGTTTATCTACCCCACGCATGTACTAAGCACCCACACATTTATTTTACCTTTATAATCACCCGTTAGAATTAAATTAGGAGAAGTTGTCTCTCTATTTCAAAGTTTGAAACATACACAGTGTAGTGATACTTACACTGAATCATTTACAGTGACTTGTCTAACTTAATAATTTTTAATTAATTATTTATATCAAATACAAGTAAAATGTTTCACTTCTTTATTTATTATATAATTGATCAATTAAAAGAATACGTCTATCAATTTAGTGCACGTATTCAGTACAAGAATCATTTTCTATATAAATATCATTATCATTCTTTTTTCTTTTTCTTTTTCTTTTTTTTTTTTTTTATTTTTCTTTTTTTTTTTAAATTGAGATAGAATCAGCAATGCGAATTCTCTTTCTTTATTTTTTGCCTATCATAAATACATATACATATTTATATAATTATTGTGTGCAATGTTTTGGGGAATTGAAATTCTATTTTCAACACAAATGATCAAATCAAGTAATTAAGACTTTATCCCCAAACAAATCAGCAGGTATGGGGCATTCTACAATCAACACTACTCAATGAAGTACAAATGAATTAAAAATTAGGGCACTAACTCACTTAATAAAAAAATGAATCATCTGATTGATCATGTGAAGCCATGGATGTGGAATATTACTTCTACAAAAACCCATCTTTATTACAGTTATATTTTTTAGACCCCCTATATTGTATATCGAAACATTTTTTTTATTTATATGTAAATTGCTAAACTGTTCGAAAAAGAAAAAAAATCTTCAACAGCACATATGTTATATTTTCTTTCCAAATGGAAGGATAAGAACAAGAACACATTTAAGCAAGGTCAACAATTCATATTTTACAAAACCCCTTTCAAAGAAATTATAATTATAATTATAATTATTATGTTATTAATTATAATTATAATTCCAGGATGTTTGTGACTGTTAGATGCATATATATAGTTTCTAATTAAGAAATATATATTTCAGTTTTGTGATGATCAATGAATCCCCAACAATTAAAGTTCAAGTGATCAAAAGTACAATTAAATCCTAGCAATTGTACAAGTTTCAATATGAAATCCTAGCAATTGTACAAGTTTCAATATGAGGTGAAATAAATTCTAATTCCTTTTCATTTACTGGTCTCTCCTTTAAATTATAAAACCCAATATAATAATTGAACGTGTCTAGTAGAGATCGAGTACCAACCAAGAAAGAGATCACAATCCATTCAACCAATACATGATAAAAACAAACAACAATAATTATAAGTTAATACATAACATGCAAAATAATAAAATTAAGTGTCAGAAATTAAGGACTAATTCACAATATATATATATATATATATATATATATATATATAAGTCCATGCATGATATTATTATTATATAAGATAAATCAAAGCCAAAAGGAGGAAGCTTTTGCTTGCTGGCTAGTTTGTTCAAAAGATTCAAAACCTCTCTCCATAGTACTCTATGGTAGTGAATCCTCTCGACCTTGCTCTTCTTCCTTCTCCGACCAGTGCTTCGCGAGCCGACATAAGTCCACTTGGCGCCAACAGCTCATTGAAGGAAGAATAATCAATCCATTCCTTCATAACCTCCTCTTGACCCCATTTATCTGGTATCAGAACCCATCCCGCGACGTCGCTCCTATGCTTCTTCAGTCTCTCACGTCCACAGTCTTGCACCGGTGCCTCAGCCTCAGCCACAGCCACAGCCACAGCCACATTCGCCGTATTTGAAGACGTAGCTTCGAGTTGAAGTGAACGATCAGGATTATATTGAAGGGTGTTGTTTGGATCCAAAGAAATTGCAGGAATAATGGAGTTTGTATGTGTGTTGTTGTTGGGTTGTGGATTCATGAATGATAAGTGGTTGTTCATGCCTGTACTGCAAGAATATGAGGTTGATCTTGTAGGGCTTGTTGTGTGTTGTGGGTGTGATACCTAATTTCATGAGTGGAAATGTGTGTGTATATATAGCAACCAAAGAGAAATGGGTGGGGAGTAGTAGTACACGTTATGGTGTTCTTTTGTATGGTATGTGACTTTTCTACGTGTCTTGCTCTTTTTCTATTAGAATTTTGTAAGATCTACGTTCACGAGATTGGTTCATAATAAATAAATAAATAAATGAACCATACTCATATTCACGAGTCAAACCGAATCCAACAGATCTAACTCCATTCTATAATTTTGGAATTTCTCATATCCATATATATTCTTATTAATAAAGTAAGGAAAACCAAAATTTTAATATATATATATATACATATGATTATCCTATGCATTGTGATGTGATGAATGATAAATTATATTCTATACAAATAAAAATTATGATTATTTGTATTATATAATTATTCAACAAGGCTTTGTTATCTAATAGGGTAAAGTAAATTTATAAATAATGCCTGTATTTTTGGTTTAACAATTTAATTTGGTTCAATTATTTCCAACTGCTTTAAAAGGTTTGGTGTGCGATACAGATAGAGAAAGCAGAGAAGTCAAAGGAATTGAATTTTGGGATATAGAGGAATAGTAAATTAACATGCAGAAAATGATTTTTTGGAAGGAGAGATGTGGACTAGTGTTAATTGAAATGAGATATTTTTTTTGGAATTGTTGATGCTGTTTACCCAATTTGTTCTTGAATTGTGTGCACATGTTATTACGCTCAATCCATGAATGGACCACAGTGATAGGGGGAACTTATTTTGTGTTTTCCTTTCTTTTTTTTTTTTTACTACAAAACAGAACCTCGTTTAGGTGAAGAAAGAGATTATTTTGAAAATGTTTTTTTTTTTTAACTTAATTTTTAAAAATAATATTCGAAAAACCAATCAACTAACTTTCAGAATTTGTCTGTCTGTCTAAAAAATAAAAATAATTTGAAAGACTTTTTTAAAAAGGTGAACTATACTGACAAAACACACACGAGAACAAAAATTGACTTTGAGCATGAAAAGCCAACGCCCTTATATTAAGTCGCACTTTTTACAAGAAAATAACAAAATTATCATTTTATAATATTTATTCAACAAGTCTGCCAAAAATTAAAAAGTAGGGATGTTGTGAGCGGGTGGGAACAATCTACTCATATATAATTTGTACATGTACAATTTGGCAGTATTGGGTCAAAAAGTGAACCAAATAAGCCAAGTTTCTTCTCATGCTCTTGCTTCTCGGAATATTTCTATCAGCTTTTGCAGATCATATTGAAAAACTATATCACAAGCTAATGAAAGTGACCAAAACAAGAATAAGAAAAAAAATGAAAGGGGACCCAACTCTGCATCCAAAGCCTAAAAAAAAGGTTACTACATGCACAAGTGTAAAACTGTAAATGTACATGTGTTAGTCACGCACCCATATGCGTACAGCCATGCGACATGTTGTCAATACAGATCTCAATACTGTAAACCTAAAAAAAAAAAAAATACTTCATCTTTCAATGGTACACAGATTCAACAAACACCTTCCAATCTGTCTTCTCTCAACTTCAGTTCTCATTCAAGAGGGGAAAACTTACACTTGCTCTCCCTCCGAGAGGAAAATGGGAAAATTTTGCTCTGGATTATGCTTCATGATTTTTTTTTGGTTGAAGACGATCCAGATAAGCTGAAGAACTGATCACACCGAGCATTATTCGTTCTTAACAGCACGATAAATGTGGTGAACAAACATGAGGGAAGCACGAAAACTGATTGTACCAAGCATCAGGAAGAATGCATAGCACATGCAAGCATTGTAGCCGAAAAAGAATGATAGCTGCATGAAACCCCTCATATTTGATTTGGCATAGAAATAGATGCAATAACCAAACATAAAAATAGCAGTCGAACCCCCACGAAAAACACATCTGCAACAAATAAGCAAATAATTTAATCAGTAAGGCAATTCAAAGCAATAAAAAAAGAAAAAAATAATTGAGTCTCCTTTGATGGATTATAGCTCCATGAAGCTGCCAAAATTTGATTATAAAGTAGCAATAAAAATTAAAAATGAGATGTCAAAGATTTACCAGGGCATCAACTAATTGGAATTTTTGTATAAATCAAAGGTCAAATCAGTGAAAAAATTTCAAGCACCAAAAGTTTTGATATAACGAAAAATAAAAAAGAAGACTGTTTAGTGAACAGGGAAGTAGATGCAGGAAATGCTACCAACACTGGAAGTACGAGTGACATTGCAGTTGTCTGAAGTAAAACATTGATCAAGTTGGTTAGGTCTGATTTAGGGAATACCAGATGCAAGACTTGATTTTTGAAAAACTCAAGAGTGCTGGAGCTTTCACATCACACTAAGGTTGTCAACATTTTTTTTTTTTTTTTTCCAGCTCGACAATTTTTAGTTGCTACATGTTTGATGTCAAAAAGTGAAATGAATCGATGTCTCCAACATGACTTTCAAGAGATTTGACCAAAAGGCCAATTGCATTTTCAACAGTACTTCACTCATAAATGACGTAACCTTTAATTCTCCAAGATTTTAGGAAATGGCTCTATTTTGTTTATTTTGGGAGGCCACTTCGCAGGAATTAAAATCCATTTCTCCCATTCATATCCTATCCTCCAAGTGTTCCCCTAACAGATCAAACCGAATCCACAATTGTGACGATGCATGCCCCACCCAATAGGATTATCCTCTTAACACTACAAACATGTTCCAGATTTCAGCTTTCCTAAATCAAAGTAGTAGGCACATTAAAACAATATTTTCCATACTGAAAATGAAAGAAAATAACTTCCATTCTTTTAAACAGGAAAGCCTCAGAAAATTTCTGGAATCAATCCCATATCCATCTTTACAAAATTACAAACATGGCCAAAATTCAGGACCCTGCCCAAATTTTAAACATTGATGCCGCCATTATTGGAAAACTACAAAGGGTTGTAGCCTAGTGGTACTTCCTCAACTTCCAAAGTAGAAGGTCGAGGGTTCAACTCCCCATAGAGGCAAAGTGGTGTGTGAGTTTCTAGCCAAGCCAAGGTAAAATAAATACAATATTATTGGAAAACTAAACTTGGTCAAAGATTTAGAAGAAAAAACTGCCCAAGGATGACAAAACACCCTACAAGGTGGCAAGGACCAAGGAGCATCAGGAATGAATGAAACAAGTACATAAAACAAACATATAAGACGTGGTGAATCTGGTGATTGCTAAGCTAATGAATGAAAGACATACATAGAAAGAGACATATAAGATGTAATTGCTAAGCTAAGTGAGAGAACATACCTCCACCACCATTCATGGTCTTCCACCACAAGTTGCATGTATGTCAAACCAAGACTCAAGATTGCAGTGAGTATGATGAGGATGATGAATGTGATAAACAGAATGCTGGAAAAAGTGTAGATTTTGTAGCCCCACAAGCTTGCATACAAGTGGTGTAATTCAAGGACAATTGCACTAAAAGGTAAAAGACCCCCGAGAAACATTTGAGCAGGTGTTTTCCTGTACCAAGATAAAGGTGGAATCTCTCTTGGGCATCTTTTTGTTACAGAAGGTGCTTGAAATTCAGACCTAAAATGGAATCCAATCACCCCACCAAGGGCAAGCAATGGGACGCTAACAAGTGTATATACAAAAAAAACCACTACTATGGTGCCAAATGGAAGTGCCGCCGTGGCCCCATAAGATATGGCAACTGTATTAAGGATAGACACAGTTAAAAACAATGGACCAAGGTAGAGAATCCCACTCAGAAGAACACTTCTTTCCTGGAAGAGTTAACAAAGCTACCATTACTGTGACTGTAAGGAAATTAAAAGGTAAGAAAATGAAGAAAAATATAAAACATAATACCATAGAATTCATAGACATTACCCATCCAGTTTCAGAAAATTGATTGTAGAAAGAAGCAGAACTGTAGCCGGCAACTGCAGATGTAAGAGTATAGATCACGACAAAAGAACTACACAGAGCTCCGCGATTGTAGGGATATAGAACACCAACAAAGGCCATGACAAATAAAAAGCAAACCCTGAGGAGAAAGTAAGAAAATTATCACATAGAGAAAAGTAAAAACCAGTCACTAATTAAATCAAAATGGGGAGTTATGGCTTTGCTTATTGGTTTCAGAGACTAAAGATAAAGGTTTGGGTAACTTTTATGGGGAGGGTGAGGCCTATATTTAATTTACTAATAGATAGATCTCAGTGCCCATGGAAGTACTACAATATGTTCCATGAAATCTTGGATATCGCTCAGGCATCATTGCCTCCATATTTTGGGCTCAAAGGTCAGCTAATGAGGAGGCATAGGCAGCTACTACTATCATTTTTCTGTATCCATCTTGTTTCTGATTATGGACTCATTGTACTCCTTGTAATCTCTTTATCTCATCTTTATCAATAAGTTTTTGTTTCTTACTTAAAAGGTAATTCAACACGCAGATGAATATAATTGGGTCACAAAAAATGCTTCTAAGAATGACACAACTAAGAATCTGATTTGCTTAGTTATCACCTAACTAGTAACGCAGAAAATGTGTCATTTTTGGGAGAAACATATCTAACAGGCAAAAAGATCTAGAATTAACATTGAATAAATAAAGGAGAAGGCTATATACTCACCAAAAAATATATATATAATAAATAAATTTACATAGAAAGCGGTACATCGAGAAAGACGACTCAAAATGGAATTTAACGTACTAAAAAACCTCAAGGTTTGCTGATGGATCTATTATGGACAAGAACACGAGGTAGTTGACATTTAGTACTAGATGTGCCCTGAGAATGACTAAATCCAAACTTAATCTATGCAGGCCAGTTCCCACACCACCACAGCATCCATTCTTGGAAAACAACCACCTGAGATGGATGCTAGAAGTAAATAAAAAAATTACTTTTGACATCACCTTAAGTGTGGGAATCAAGGGACTAATTGTTTTGACAACGAAGAGTGCAGTTCCCAAAGAGGATAAAACCCTGCTAAAATGTCTCATCACAGAAGAATAAATATGGCACTGCATGAACGATTATTATAGATTTTACAGCTATTATACAAGTAGCAACTGAATTAAAATATTAGCTTTTGGAGTAGCTTACACGGTCAACAATTGGGTACCAGTTCCCAGAGCAGCACAAAATAAGGGCATTTGCGAAGGACATCTGAACACGTCACTGTGAATGTATTTCCAACCAACCTCCTTATCTTCTTCTTCATCTCCAATAGAACCCCTGCAGTACAAAAATAAAAGAACATGCAAACAAAATGAAATAACCCGCCTTAGAATTAACTTGAATTGGTAATAGGCTAAAAGTATGTGTAATACTAATAGTAGTAGAAGTAGTAAAAGTGATGCATTACTTTCTCAGATCATTCTTGAGATGCCGCATAAAAAGCATAATAAGCAATCCCATCAAAAGCATAATGATCACAATTGAATTAATAAAAGAGAACCAATGAATTTGTCGGCGAGCTGGAAGTAATGCAGCCCTTGCATATTTGTCCATTCTGTTCTCCAACCTAGTGGAGGTTGCATTCCAGAAAACCGAGTAGGTGAACTTTACATTGGTCTCAACATCTTCTGTTATATCCACCACATGACTTGGGTCACTAAAAGCACGTATTTCTATGACTTGGTTGCCATTGTAAAGAGCATCAAACTGCACATGATTGAATAGATAGAACTTAGATCCTTTTCCATCAAGGGTCCAACTCTCTTCTTCAACTTTCCCAATGAACCCCCACACTGGAAGATCATCATAGTACATCTGGAAACAAAAGTCATCAATGACAGCATCCCTGAACTTTGCAACTTCATATCCTTTAAGCTGCTTCTTGCACAGAATCTCCTCAGTTTTGTCCTCCCGGAATTTCAAGTCATATAAAGCAACAGTCAATCGATCACCATTTAGAACTTCTCCAAGAGATTCCTTTTTTTCAACTATCTGATCTGCAAAATATAAGTAAATACTAATCCAGTTACTCAATTGCTCTGCAATAATAATAGACGAGGTTAATCCACCTAGCCAATGGCATGAACATACTAAATAAATTCTCTGCATTACAGGGTGCAGCATGAACATAACAGCGCCAATTGAAAAATCTATAATTGTTCACTTAGTTCTCTTAACTTTTGTAGGAATCCAAATTATCCTTTGTGATTCTATTACAAGCTCATCAAAGTGGATAACAACCAGAATTCAATTGGTGAAAAAATTAGATGCTGACTTGAGTGTGTGTTCAGACTTTGCAGCAATCGTGCTTACCCAGTATCTAACACTCAAACCAAATTATTGAATGATAAAAACTTCTCAACTGATCTTCTTCCAATAAATATTAGACAAGCAAATTGTTGCTGTGAGTACCACCAAAGGTTGTAGCCTAGTGGTATTTCCTCTAGCTCCCAAATTTGAAGGCAAGGCTTTGAGTCCTCATAGGGGCAAATGGGGGTGTGAGTTTCTTTTCAAGGAAAAAAAATTGTTGCTATAAGCCTAAATGCTAACCTGGGCGGCAGAATGGCAGATCATAGTATTGGTAAGTTTCACTGCAAGAGAATAACAATTAAGGAGCATTAAAATTAAAAATGATGCAAGGATGCTCGTAAAACATCATATTCAAGACAAAACTGAAGCTATTTGATTCAATTAAATCAAATTCTACATGAATTTTACTTTAAAAATTTTAAAAAAAATTCAGCAATGCGTGTAAAGAAGCACTCTCCTACAAACTCTGACACCAAGATGGATGTGTTATAGCAATTACGAGTGTTTTCACACGGATTATTATTGATTTTTTTATAGCTAGCTATATGATATATGGACTTTTAGGGTTTACAAAGGTGCATGAAAAGGGCATGGGTTTCAGCTTTCAAGGTTGTAATCATCAACTTCTTGAGTACACAAGCACAAGCTTGTCCCATGACATATTGACGGACAAACACTTACTTCACATTCCCACTCTTCCTGGTGGTGCTGATCATTGTTAGTAGACCCCCTCTGGTAGAGTGAAAGTAGAGATCAATCCCTTTATTTACAAAACACATTATAGTCCGTGTCCAAGAAAAACCCCTAAATTTAGACCAACATTACAATATATATATATATATATATATATATAAATTCACATTTGGAATATTGCAATGCAGAAGTTTAATGCCTCTTAAAAATCACTACCCACTCATTTATGGAAATTGGACAGATAACAGCCAAACTAAAATCAAGCATTCTCTTTCAATTCTTATTTATCTACAAACAGTAATACTATTATTTCAATTCTTATCTCAAAATTTACGTGTAGAGTAGAAAATTCATTGCCTCTTAACAATCAGTACCCAATTATGGAAATGAATCGGTCAAAGCCAAATTGAATCAAGCATTTGCTTCAATTCTTACTAATGTACAAACAATGATAATAGAAATTTCAGGATAAACATTATACCAAATGTGTTTTTGTAAATGACTGAAGAATCAGAGTTAAAAATTGAGAGAATGGAATACCTGGGATTATTCAATGGGCCCACTTTGTTGACGAATAAAGGGACGCGATCTCCCACATTGTATCGATGATCGCTCGCTGAAGCGGTGGTACAGCTAACTGAGAAACCTAGGGTTGTTAGAAGCACCAAAATGAGATTGATTTCAAGGGTTTCAGACATAGATGCTTTCATATAGACCGAGAGTGTTGAAGACGTTGGAGGGAAATCCAGCAGAAGGGTTAAGATGAAATGGAAAAATGGGCTTAGAATCCGAGTCACGACCGCGCTTCTTAAACTCTACGAGTCAACCAGGTTGAGTCGCTTGTCCATCTCTATTACAGTTTGACTTCTTGAAATGGGGTTTTCTCACGGGTCTAATCCAATATCAAAGGGCTGTTTGCAACCACTTCCTTTTTGTGTTTTTCATTTTAATCCGAAACACAGTTTTTGTTAAGCTGCGAGTTGAATAGTAAAAACATAAAAATATGTTATGTTATAATGTTCAAGATTGAAAAACAAAATATTTAATTTTAAAAAGGCCACCAAATTTATTTTCCTTTTTTTAGTATAGTTCACCTCTATAGTGTTCTTGGGCAAAAATATTAGGAATCTCCAATTTCTTGTTTCTGATTTAGGAATCATCAATTTCTTATTCATGATTTGGACCTCTTTTCGGCAACAAATGTGATACCATTCAAATAGGGTTGTAAGAGTTATGCTTTGATATGAAACTTTGATATGAAAAATATTCTTTGTATTTTTGTAAGAGTTATGCTTTTCAATAGTTATGCTTGATTATGGCTTTATTGTAAATTGATCATTGTTTTGTGAATTGATATAGTCAATTCTGTAATAGTCTAGAAGCATGCTTTTGGATTGCCACTAAAATTAAGAACTGCCCGGAGCATTTCCCTTTCCTGGTTAATTAATTGAACCATGGATATCATCATAAAAGGCCATTGTTGTATCTATTCATTACTAAATTATTAGTGCTTTCTATTTCAATTTTCAAAGTATTGATTTTAGTTTCATAAGCTATTTCTTAGTTGATAAACCAGTACTAGGATCAATGCCTGTTTTAATTGGCTGGCTTCATTAAGCATAATATAAAAATTTGTTCCGAGAGGTAAGGACTTATTAGGTCCAACCGTCCTACACTCACTTTATCTATCTTTTAGCGTATAATGCTCTCTTCTGGTTTTATTTGACTCCTTATAGGTTGGATAAGATGTTGTGGCTACTTTGGTAACTATTGTTTTCTTTTTATATGAATATTGTCTGTCAGGATGATTCACAGTTTGTTGCTGGTGATCTGGTCAGCTTCCTTGGTATTTTGCTTGGTGGCTTACATTTTAAACTTGACCCCCTTAACTTGTTTGATTAATGCAGGTGAACGATACAATTGGAACATTAGCAGGAGGCAGAAACTACAACCAGGCTATCATTGCTGTTTTGATTTTGGGTACAGGAACGATACAATTGGAACATGCAATTCCCAAATGGCACGGTCTACTGCCTAAATCAGGTGAGATGGTTACCAGCTTTCAAATGTTTGAACCTATATATTGTTTTCAAATCATGATTTAAACTTTCTTCTAATTCTTTTTAATTTTTTTTTTAATTTTTTTTACTTTTAATTTGTCCCTTCCATTGGGTAGAAGTGTTTTGTGGTTCCAAACCAGGTGTCAATCTGTAACTTGATATGCGATTGTTTCTTAATAGAAGATATTTGGGATGGTATTTTAATTTTTATAGTCTTGGAAAGAACTAGTAAAACTAATATTTGATTTTTTGCTTCTGCATACAGGGATCTTTCATATAATAAGGGCTTAATAGGTTCTCTTCCCTCATAAATTGAAAATTTAAAGAAGTTATTGGACTTGTAAGGACATTCTTATTTTTTTATTAAAATATTAACTGATAACTAAAATGTAGTTACAATGTTCTGATAAACCAATTTAATTCTACTCTGCATCAGAATTCTAGTTGTTTGCAGGTTTATTGGTCTGATTCCAGAGATGATATCATCTCTCTCCAGCAGCTGGTTTTCTTGTAATGATTTCAAATCTGGCATTCTAGTTCTATTTTAATGCGAGAGCTAATGAACATGCAAGTCCTTTGCTGAAATATGGCCTTTAAACTTCTTTAATAAGTGAAGCATCTAGCTAGCTCCAGTATGTTTGGAAGGAAAAATTTAAGACTTGACTTTTTCATACTAGTTGCACCTCTATTTTTCCTTGTATATGTGTTATTTAATTATGTATTTGTCAATGTCATGTTGTGTGAAAGGAGAAAATGACTGATAAAATCAAGGGATGGAAGGGTAGTGTTTTTTTTATCACCTAGTGGGAAAGAAGTTTTCTGAAGTCTCTTCTCACTGTTTTACCAGCATATGCTATGACCTGTTTCAAGCTCCCGTGTAATGCTTTGAAGAAGCATATGTCTCTCAATTCTGGTGGAATGGATGCACTGACAGTAAAAAAAAATGCATTGGATTGCTTGTGATAAGCTGATTAAGCGAAACGTGCGGAGATTTGGGCTTTAGGGATTTGGAAGCCTTTAATTTGGCTTTGTTGGCTAAGTTGGGGTGGAGATTACAGGTGAATAGGAAAGGGAGATATTTCCCTTTTACTGATTTCTTGAGAGCTGAAAAATCACATTACCCCTCTGGGGCATGTAGTAGTATTTTGGCAGGTAGGGAATTGTTGGAAAAAGGTATTCTATCGAAAATTGGAGATGGAAGGAATATTAATTGCTCAATGATAATTGCTCAATTTAAATTTTAAATGTGTCAAGGGACTTAATTGCACCAAATTGAAACTTGAGGGGTGTTTTTTGCACGTAAGGAGTGTGATATGCACCGTAAGCATACACTTCAGGGGTGTTTTCTGTACTTGACCCTTAAAACTAATATTGATATTGCAGTAAACATTATTTGTGCAAAGGTTGCTGGTGGTGTGGTGGTTTGACGGCGGCTTTGTCGTCCTACCACACATCAAACTTAGAGAGTAGTGTGCATTAAGGCGAGGGTCAAATTTTACATTTATAGAAGCCACTTCTATCTTCACTAAAAATATAATTAGGGTGAGTAGGGATCGTCCCAAGGGATTGGAGTCGAATTTGGTTGTGGAATCTCTATTAGGGTTAGTAGGTCGAGTGATCAAACAAATGATTGGTTGGTTGATTAAACTAGAGAGTAAATTAAACTAAGTAATTGAATGCAATAAAGAGTAAGTAAGAGAGAGAGAGATCTTGAGGTTTAGAGGTCACCACCAAGCAATACTTTTCTACACCCTTAACTAGTGACTAATGAGGGACATGTGTGTTGCAATATTTATATGTGTGTGTGTTTGGTTGATTCAATTAGCAAGTGTGACCAATTAAGCATACATTGTCTAATCAACATATGAAAAGCACAATATATCTAGCAATTAAGTATATATTGTCTAAATAGCATGTGAAAAGTACAATATATCTAGCAAGTCATTAATCATTTCATTAAGCTCACAAGCCAAATACACTACAAGGTTAGAGACATATGCTATTTGCATTCAAAAGTATGGAACATCAAACAACAAGCATGGATTGTCCTCCCATCTAACAACTATGCTACCACTACACTACAATTAAGCTAATGACATGAAATTAAACTAATTAAGCTAAGGGAGAGGCACAATCCATCAAGAAATGAGCATGAACCATCTACAAAATCACAAGAGCATTCTTTTAAGCACAATGTTTTGACAATCTCTAGATCTAAAGCATTAATATATATAGACATGCATTAATAACATAAGAAATAGAGACAAACACATGAACATCTATTCTAGCATACATAGACATATGGATAGAATGAAATGATCAATTGGAAGCATTAAACCAAATAAATCATTGAATAAACAAGATCTAAAAGTGCCAAAATATGTATTACAACACTAATCCCTTAATAGTACACAAAATCAAGATGTAAAAAGTATGCTTGGGGCTAACTCTAGCCCCAAGAGGATATTTAGCCACTCATGGTAGTGCTTCTCCAACCCTCAAGGGCTAACTCCATGGTAGAGATTTGCTCCTTGGTTGATGAAGAGTCTCCAATGGTGTCTCTAGCCTCCCCCTCTTCTAAGCTTGCTCTCCAAGAGATGATATGATGTGATATGGTATGATATTCTCTAAAAAGTAATCCTTATCCTTATATAAATAGGTAAAAATGGCACCCAAAATGAGCTGGGGTCGTGCACAAATATTCCCCAATGATTGGATAAAGGACAACTTTCAATGAGCTGGAAATTTAACTTTTTCGCACTAGAGGAAGTTCGATCGATCGAACCTTGGACTTTGATCGATCGAACATGGTTGAGATCTATTGAACTTAGGCTGGATCGATCCTCACTGGTGGTGCTTTTTGGATAAAGACAAATCTAAGATATTTTAAAGATATTTTTGGGAAAAGGACAAAAGTGGTTTTTAGGGTAGTACAACTAGATAAGATCAATCATTTGGATAAGGACAAAACAGTTCGATCGATCGAAGAATGATGTTGGATCGATAGAACTTTTGGGATCTCTGAAAATATCATCATGGCTCTGATCCATCTTAAAGCGATGAAATCGATCATGTTGGATCGATCAAACTTTGATCTGAGATCGATCGAAGATGTTGATTTTCACATTTTTCTTCTTTTTGCTTCCACTTAGCTCATTTCTTTGATTTATCCTAGAATTGCTTCATTTCTGCTCTTATTTGGCTGAGTTAGCTTATTTTCGGGATAAGTGCCTAAAAATGAAAATAATACGAAATTAATCTAAAACGGTAAAGTAAGATAGATAAAGGTACTAGAATGCCTAAGCTTAAGGGGTTTAAATACGCACTTTTCAGCGCTCATCATACCCCCAAACTTAAATATTGCTATTCCCTAGCAATGAACTAGAAAGCAAAGGAATAAAATGAACAACTATACAACTATTGTAATACCCCTAGTTTTCAAAAGGATAAAATGGGAATATTTTGGTTTGTTTTTCATTTTTATTTAAATTATTGGACTTATTTGTTATTTGGTTAAATTAGTTGATTTATTATTATTTTGTGTGTATTTAATTTAATTGTTATATAGTGGATTGGTTTGTTTAATTGATTAAGTGTGAATTATTTGTTTTAGATTAATTGATTTATTTTACTTGTTGATTGGTTTTAAATTAATTGTTTAATTGAATTGGTATTTTGAATTGATATATAATTTCCTTATTTATTTATTTTCCTTAATTAGGTTTAGGGTGTTATGATTAAGTAATTAGGTAGCCGACTTGTAGTTGAGCTGGACTTAGGGTTAGGATTAATTGTTTAATTGAATTGGTATTTTGAATTGATATATAATTTCCTTATTTATTTATTTTCCTTAATTAGGTTTAGGG